TCGTGTGAGTGACATGCATTGCAGAATGCAGCTGTGATGCATTTTGTGCGAGGAGGAACGCTGCAAGATCGAGGTTTAAAAAACGCGCAGAAAACACACATTTTTTTGCCGCCCTTCGATCGGCCTCAGGCCCTCAGATGTTTTGCTTTGGGTTGACAGGTCGCATGTGGCTTGACCTCCCCAACAGTCGAAATCGTAGCCAATGGTCATAGCATGTCATAGCCTTACCTGTACACTGTATAGGACCATCCCAAACGTACTGGTGGTAGGAACTGATGGGGGAGGCCATCTTCCACTTCTATCTACCAGCACCCCAAAGTCGGCAATCATTGACACCATTGCATTTCTCCCAGGGGCCTCAAAGATCCCTTAAAGAAGAACTCACCTCCTTTTTCGGCGTCTTCGGGCTCTCGTTCACCCGCTGCTGCAAGGGCTCTTGTTCGCACGCGTGAACGGGCTCTCGGCGTTCGCGCCTCCGGGTCCTTTGGACATGTTCGGACCAGTGGATTCCCCTGACGGAGCCGCTGCTGCAGGCCACGAGGAGCCCGACAAGATCATCTACCGTCGCTGGCGCAGTGAGATCGGACCATGGGAGATGTAACGAGGTCAGTTGGACCTCATTTTACTGGAAATGGTCGGTCATGCAAAAACACTTTTTACTTGGTCTTTGGAGTTGTCGGTAGGGTAAAAAGACATAGCCAATGGGTGCGGAATGGAAGCCCACAGACAGTGCAGGGTAGTCTATCGGAGACCCTGTAAGGAAGTAGCTGGCAGGAATGGGCCTTGAGCAAGTCTCCCAAATGGGGTCCCTCCAGAGCCCAATTCCTTGGGCGCCCTCCGGTGGCACATTGGGGGTTGCCCAATTTTGGTTTCATCTCAATTCATCCCTCCATTCAGTGGATTTGGGAAGCAAATTCAGAGAACCCAACCTGCTCCTCGAGCTGCCTCGAGTCACAAAATCACATGTGCTGGAACAAGCTCCTCAAACACTGAAGTGGAGCAAAGCCGGAATCGCCTTCAGCGTGGCCCCAGCCTTCACCTTCTTCCACTTATACAGGCATCCGGATGGCGCTACCCGAGAGAGTGGTTTTGGCACCCACATCCACATCCGTGTTTCGCTGCTTTGGAGTTCTTCCGACCGGTCGTTCCCTGGTGCCCTCTGAGGTGCAGCCATCCACAGCCTCAGCTCCTCCCAGTGACTCAGAAGTTCGGACAAAGAGGGGTCCAATCACTGGAAGGAGGGGGGCGAAGTGAAGTCCCCACCACGGGCCCCGAAACACCCCAACACATTGGGACAAACCTCCGGTCCGACGAACGTCCGAGAAGCGTTCGGACCTCGTTCGGACGACTGTTCCACCGAGTTCGTGAACGCACGACGAAAATTGGCATCAGACTGCGTCAGATGTGGGGGCCCTCCTCGGGCTTCCCTTGGCTCCTTCCTTGTGCAAAAAAAGCCGACCGGTGAACTCCAGGTTTCAAGCTTTCGCATGTAGCTTAGCTTGTAGAATGAATTCGGCTTAAGAGAAAGTGGTAGTTGCCTCGAAAAAAGAAAAAAAGAAAAAACAACACCTTCCTTAGCAATCTCTAACATGGGTTAATCCAATGGTCCAAATGAAGCATGTTGAATCAGAAGAATCAGATTGGTCTTTGGAATTGGGTAGAGTTGTCAGAATCCCTGGGAGTTAGAGAGATCGATTCATGCAGAGTTTCCAGCCTCAATGATGTTCCCAAGCACGCCAGCGAGCAGATGCAGCAAGTCACTGCCCGAAAGAATCCTGACAGCCCTACTCTACCAGCTTCTTCTTTTGTTCACCATGTGGGACTGCCAGCATGACTGGTATGTTTCCAAGGTGGAGGTGGTCTTTGCAGCTCTACGAGGAGATGCCCTTCCAGGATCCCACGCCGTTCGGGCCTCGGCAGCCTCGGCGGCCTCCCTCCACGTCCCTTTGGGCTCCGATGTGGATCGGGGTCCTTCGTGGTCGGGGCTGAAGAACCAGGACCTAAGCTACTTAGCTACTTACCTGTTGCGAAAAGAGACATGTTAACCAGTGGTAGTTTACCAGTTGGCATATTGATCCTGAGGGCTGAGAAATGTTCAGCTATATAGAGCAGCTAGAGGTGCCAGACAAGTTACCACAGGGGTAACTGGCTTGTGGCAGCCAAGCCTTGGTTCAAAAGACAAACACCTTATTCCCTCCACTGCCGTTCTATGAACCAAATGATGAACAGAATGCTGGGTCGATCTGGGAATCTTTACTGACTTGGGGATTTCTATGCTTCGCCGGGTCGTTCTCAGGACTCAGGGCATGATGCTTTTGATGGGTTTCTTCCTGAAAGTTTATGAAGTGATCGCATCCTGCAGATGTGAACTGAAGCCCCTTACCATCCGCCCAGGCTTGAGGCCGTTGTCCTGAGCTTGCTCGAAGCTCAGTCCTGGAGGCTGGCTTGGGGAAGATTCATTAAGTGCCTCGTCCAGCCACGGGGTGAGAAAGCTCCGTGAGTCGAGGCAGAAAGCAGGTAACATCAGGCAACAGGGATGGGCAACCTGAAAGGTACACATGGTAGTTTTGAGGTCAATGTTGGTTTGCAAGAGAGGAGTACATTCGGTATGGCCAACTCGAGACCCAGAAAGTCTTGTTACCCTTCATCCAACAAACATGGAAGTGGAACACGGCCCCTTGGAAGACTGTCTTCTTTTACTAACAGACCATTTTCCACTTCTATGATTGTTGGAGGGAGGGTAATTATATAGTTCATTTCTCTTGTTTCTTAGGAGAGGGTTCCTTGAACCTTTAGGTCTGAGAGTTTGATCGAGATTGCGCCGCAGGCAAGCCTTGGCCCTGTCAGAGGAGCTGACACGGGACGGAGCACTGAAAGCCGCAGAGGTGGATGTTCACTGATTTCGATATGCTTTTGATGTGAACACCCCTCAACACTGGACTCTGAAGATCTCTGAAGATCTCTAAGTCACTGATCAACTCACCAGACTGAGCCCATACGAGTCAGAAGACTTCGGACGGGTGGCGCTGCGCCACAACCGTGCCGAAGGGCTCAGAACGGACTCCGTTCGACTCCGACTCCGTGGAATTGAGGACTCGAGTGATCCACAAGTCTTCCACTCAGATGACCGATCCGATTCGACCAGAATGGGGGTAGCGAAACAATGACCTGCCAGGCGTTCAGATAGACCAGTCGACCTGGAAGTTCGGGGGCGAAAGTTCGGGTGTCCACCTGGAAGTCCTGGGACCTTACAAAGTAAGTCCTCAGCCGAAGTGGACCTATAGAAAGTATATTCGCCGAAAAATCATGTCAACGCCGAACTTCCACGGCCGAAACAAAACATAAGATGGGGTCCCATCAGCTGCCCGTTTTTCCATCAGCTGTTCCTTGGTTCCTTTCCCCTTGTCCACGCTGCTGATTGCACGCTCACAGTTGCTCACGCTTTCTCACGGTTCTGCTCACGCTTTCTCACGATCCCACGGTTTCTCTTTAACGTCCTGCTCACGGTTTCTCAGGCTTCTCACGGTCCCACAGTTTACAGCGCACATGGTCAGTCTTTTTTGGGCATACATACTACAGATGCATCAATAGCAGTACTTTTTAAGGTCCGGGACCTTAAAAGCACATCAGCCATGAGGTGCTGGGCACGTACTTTTTAAGACAACTTTCTACCGAAATTCCCGGGACCCTACAAAGTAGGACCATGGACCGACAGGGTATACCCTGAAATACTTCATATTTGCACGTATTTGGGCGACTTGGATGGCTGACCGGACAGGGTCACAAGAGGTCAGACATGATCAGACACCAGACAGTACTGTACATTCCATAATTCGTTCCGATGTTACATATATATAATATTATGTCAGTTATATATTTATATGTCATTTGCATGTCCTTTGAAGAGAGAGGGAAATATACCAGTCTATCCATCTCTTGCCTGCACACAAAAATTTCCAGAAGAAACCCATGCTCGCTGGGTTTCCTGCGGGAGCGTCCCAAATGCCAAAATAAGAGCTGGATATTTTGGGGTCCATTTTTTTTGGTATAAACATACAGGACCAGATCGACCGACCAGATGGGCTTGTCCATCCCATAGACCTCACTGCGCGGTTTCGATGGATCCTTTCACTGCCTCCGCAGGTCCCCCACCATCCCCCGGTTCGACTCGACTCGACCCCACTCGATCGCGATCAGCGAGGAGACGCGGATCAGCGGTCGCAGCTATGCACAGCTGCTCTGCACAGCGGAACTGCATGGCTCCGGTCCACTGGGCGTGGCGAGGTGCGCGTCGCGCGTTGGATGGAGTTCGCCGAGGGTGAAACGTCGAGTGATAAGTCCGGGTCTCCGATTCTCGGCCCGCATCCATTTTTCAGCCGTGGAGGCATGTCGGTGGATGTGGTTCCGACGGATGGGTGGAACGACGGATGGTTTTGCAGACATGGAAGCTTCCGCCACTCCCGGCAAAGGAGTGTGCAGAAGATCCTTTGCCACAGGAGTGGTGTTTTGTTCGGTCGTTGGACATTTAATCAATATATAACCCTTTTCCCCGAAGTCAACACTGACACATGGCGAGATGGCTCATCCAGAGACGCTTACTTTGTAATGACACGGATGATTCTATGCAATAACATTTTCAGAGAAAGGATTGCCTAAGGGCCATGCGGATACAATAAGGGCCTCGAGTCAGACAGTCTATGTTTAGCATGCCAATCGCATGGTAATTGTCAGCTTGAGAGATGTATATACTATCCAGCCCTATCCTACTTGAAAGATCACGATCATGGACTGTCCGCAAGAACTCCATTCACAATGCTATTTTCCACATGTGTAAGCTGTGCTTTTCTTGGCCAATTTGCTTTCAGTTTGTTCCACGCTTCCCATTCGATCATCAATGACAGAATGACAGTCACCAAGCTTGGAAGACCATGGGGACACATCTCTCAAGGGCCAAAGTCACGACTTTGCATGAAAAAACCTATGACTTCGCATGACAGTTCCATCTCAACAGGGACGTTGCTTTCGCTTTCATCCAGTACCTGCTGGCCCACTACCTGCTGCGACACGCCGCTCGTCGCCATGGCACTTGGGAGCTTCTTGACCATGGTCCTCATGTTGCGCGAGGCCATTGCCGTGGTGCCGCAAGGCCCCGGTCTGGAATCTGGAACTCACAGTAAGCAGACTTTGCGTTGCTTGGGTTACTGACAGTAAGAAGCACGTAGAACATGGGCATATGAATCTATATATATATATGTATATTTGTATGAATATATGGTAAAATAAGTATGAGACATACTATGATACATTTCAGAGATGTACTGTATACTGTAATCACCCCTGGGAACTTGCAACCAATTGGATCCAGTTGGTGCTGGTTTATAGGAGAAGGCAGAGTCAGGAAACCGTGAGTCTGGGTTCACCAGATCGTCCGAGTCAGGAAACCCCGATACCACTTCACAATATAACATGAATAAGCACAAGAGCAAGCAGGATAATACATAACAATCGATGAAAGAAAGGAGAAGGAGGAGAAGGAGAAGGAGTGCTTCAGGGCTTCAGGCTTCACTTAGTTTAGACCTTCACTTCTTTTGGGTTCTGGTGGGTTTGGTTTCTATAGTATAGGATGGTTTAGGTGTTCCTTTCTTTGGATTGGGCGTAGGCTCAATATTGGATGTTTCGGGCTTCAATATTGTTTCGGGCTTCAATAGTTCCATGCTGGGTTCAATATTGGATGTACTTTTTTTTTGTCTTTGTCTTGTTCTTTTCTCGACAAGATATTCATGATCAACTCTAAGGAATGGCTAGGCATCAACGGAGGATTCAGCGAGGACTACGTGGACCATTTGGGGCGCCGGTGGCATCACACCAAAGAGAAGTGGACTCCCACTGGCTGGGGAGGATATGTGGCTTTCAAACCCAGGGACTACACCAATACGGCCTATCTGATTCTTAGTTTACTTGGAGTATGTGGCTTACCGCTTTAATTACCTGAAGTAGATGTAGATACGACATGATACAAACAGGCTTCAAAAATGTCTTTGTTATGTTAATTTTAGGTTAATTAATCGTTCTACACTCGAGCTTTACGCCGAGTGTAGGTTGGTGGTAGTGGGCTCCCTTTGGGGCCTTCTCCCCGTGGATTGGCAGCACCTTGCAGCACCGAGCCCCAAATGGGTCACTCTTAAACCGACCGGTGGGCAGGGACGATCGTTCGGCGGGGTCCCAAGGAACGGGAACCAAAGCCTCGGCCGCATGAGATGCCGGAACTGGCCAGCGGAATATGAGCCAGACTACGAGACCTGGTTTTAGCCGGATCTTTTGAGCGTGAAGAATCGATGTTTTGGGGGACAGCATCGGCGGATGGGCAGGTCATCTGAAGGGAACAATTGAAAGCCTTAGCGAGTTTGAGATGTTTTCGTTCATGGACACCCCAAATCACCCATCTAAGACCAGCTCGTTCAGGGCAGGCTAAGGGCCCTTAGCCGACACCCCTTTCGTGGCTCATGAGCGATAATTTTTTTACAGAACAACGGGTGAAAGACCCCATCGCGCCTCAGATCCAAGGATGCCTTGTTGCAACACTACAGTCGCGAGGCAGATGCGCCGAACCAAACCTTCCGTGCCAATCTCCAGGATGCCTCGGCGAAAGTGAGCTACTACACGGTGAAGTACCAGTTCTGTGAGAAGAATCGGAATGGTGGCGCCAAGATGAATATCATGATCAATGGAAAGCTCGTGAAAAGGGACTTTACCACGTCGTGTCATCACACGATCACTGACATCTACCACTTCAAGTGCATTCCAACACAGAGTGGTATGATTGAGGTTTCCATCCAGGGAGATCCTACTGCAAAGAAGCCGCAAGCGCGCTTTTCGACGCTGGAATTTGAGAAGTCCTTGGACGGCTGTGGTGAATGTGAACTGTCTCTCAGTTGTCCAACCATCCCAGTAGATCCATATGTGGAATAGTTACCCGTGGTACATACATGTAAAGGGATGTATATAACTATTCCGCATACATGGATGGGTTGGGTGTGTAACCTTTGATGTTTTCATCATGTTCTCTTTATTTCGCTGTAGAGAAACATAGTGGAGAGTCACGGTGCCGGACCTTGTCCATAGGAGGAGTGATGCATTCTGTGCAGAAAGTCCATATGCCCCAAAACCAGAAGCTGGCATCTACACTCGCTGGAACTAATATGGACGGTGGACAATGGCCCTACTCGGAAGACCATTTTCAGAAGACCAATCAGAGGGCTTTCCACTTCCATGTTAGTTCCAGGGAGTGTAGCAATTTTCTCGCTGGACAAGTAAGGTCTTGTGGGGTCAATGGCTTTTGCAGTTCTTCTAGCCACTACGAAAATCCCTACAGCTGTGGAGACCGTGGCAGCGAGTTCCTGCACAACGAGTTTGACCCTGAAAAACTGCGCAGTAACGCCAGTCGCCCTCAGATGGCCGAGGATCTATTTGCTCTTTCCACAGCCTGAACATACTTCTTTGATCTGTTTAAGGGGCGAATCTAATCCAACGTCGATCAAGTTATTTGTTGAAAGAGTCACTGACCACTCCTCTACAAGATCGTTTCAATAGACATCAGCATCGTTTAGCGCACTGTTTGGCGCCATTAAATCCCATAAAGCGCCATTCGCAAGACTCTTGAAGCGTCACAGATGCATTGGCCTTTTATGAAGTTCGGTTGACCTGGCTCAGAGGACTATCAGTAGAGCCAGGCGTATGCTTCTGGTCACTGGGGAGGCTGTTCATGACGGGGCTAGATGGAAGCAGCCACCATCTGTGGAATTCCCAAAGATCCATGTTCTTTCTTCACCAGGTTGCGCCTGTGGCTCTGGAGTACAAGGCGACTTCTGTGAGCTGGGCGTCTGCGCGAAGACCAGCTGCAATGAGCCTTTCGGTGGCGTATGCCTCAATGGCACCTGCGCGTGTCTCAGTGGCTACGCCGGGCGCAGCTGCGAGAGGCCGCCGGAGACGGACCAGTTTGGCTGCTATAGCCAAGAGGAGGCGGGACATGGCGGGGCATGGGCGGGGCACCAAGACTGAAATTTGGGGAACCTGGCCCTGAGAAAACTCCCAGTACCGCCTCGGAGGTACTGGATCCCTTGATTCCTCAGTAGGAATCAAAGCTCCAGATGAGAGACACCTGCTTCAGGCGTGCCGTCTTCTCAGGTCACCGCCCGAGAAATCCTGGGACCCTCTTCTGAACGGACCTGGAAGGTGAGGGTTTAGGACCTCTTCGCTGGTCTACAGCGCCAGGTGAGTGGATTCCAGCATTCTCAGCGCCGGTCAGTCTCAGCTGTTCAGGTCTATGGGCCCCTGACAGTGTCGACCATTTGCTTGCCCGAGCTCATTGCAGGCCACGATTTTTCGGAATGACGAGAAGACCGGTAGTAGCGAACACGATTTGTGGGCACTAGACTAGAGTCGGCACAAAAGGGAACGCCCAACTTCCTATTAGTTTAGGTGTTTTTGAACATGTTTGAGATCGACTGCACGTCTATTCATATGGACGTGGGAACAGCAAACATGGGATTTAAGGCACTTTCTGATTCTTGGTGATGAATCTATCGAGCCATATCTTACAGCTCACAAGGCACTCACTATTATTATGTAAATTTGTGAAAGCCAGAGCTGCAACTGGTCTTTGCTGGTGTGTGTCTTTTCGGATCTTTTCGGTCAAGTCCTTTACCGAAAGCTTTCACGCCACGCACGCACGATGGACTGTTGCAGTCCATCGGGGTGATGGCGATCGAAAATGAGTGGGGCATGTCAGAGGTGTTTTGCCATGAAAGGGTACCATCCTTCCCATGGTGTTTTTCTCACGTGTTGTTGGTTGATTATCATGTTTGTCACCTTATAACACCTAATTACAACTCCATGCATCATGAATCACTTTGGGTCCATGGTCCAGGTACCTGCCAGTGTGTGTATGGACGGGTTCTGGTTACGTTTGATGATTTTCATCGCCCCGTCGTGTGGGTCTCCTTGGGTCACATACCACCATCGGGTGTCCCATGGAGATCCTTATAAGTAGTGCAGGGTCGTGGGGCACCCATTGGATGGTCCAGAGTCCAGGTATATCCCGAAGCCTCAGAAGTATCCCGAAGCCTCAGAAGTCAAATCCAATCCCCAAGACTTCAACCTCCGCCATGGTTCGGGTTGACTGAGCCGTGGATCCTGATGGAGATGTATATGATATGTATCATTTTCCGGATTTGCATGGTGAAAGTCCAGGATTTGGGACTCCGACCCTCCTTCGAGGGCTCCGCTTCTCTCCTTGCAGGTCCAGCTCGTCATGGACACCTCTTCCGCGGGCCCTCACCCATGCAGGGCGTGTCTGATCGGACAAAGGCGCGGAAGACTGGGAGGAGGGTTGTTGGTTGGGAGAATGAACATGCGTTGGGAGCACGCCCAAGCTTTTTCAGACATTTCTTACCACGTAAGAACTTTAAGAACCTAAGCACCTTTGGCATGTAAGTTTTGGTGGCTGAGGAAGTGGTGTTGGTTTCGCGAAGATCAAACATGCAAAGAACCATTAAAAAAAAAACACAGCCATACGGAGCCATACCGGCCATACCCATGTTGTTTGTCTTGTACCAGCCACAAGACCTACACATTGAAGGATATTAATTAAAGGACATTGACCCTCACAGCCATGGGGTGCTAGTGTATATGGTCTCTGAATCTGTGTAATGACAGAATGATATCATGAAGCCACAAATTAACATTCGATATGATATATACTATTGGCTGTAATAATTATTACATGGGTGCCATGGGTGCAACACCTTCAGGTTTTTAAACCATTTGAACATCTAGCGGACGACCCGTCCGCTGGGTGCAAAACGACCCAGCTCGCATGCTCGATGGCCCAGGACGTTGGAGTGACATAGGATCAGGAGTCAAAGAAGTTGGATGGTTGTTTTCTTGATTCTGATCAGGTCTTCTCCAAAAATACATCTGATCATTATGAGGGTCATGATTCTGCTTGATGGGGTTCTCTTCGCAGACGCTCCATGGGACTGGTGTGTTTACCCTTAAATTACCAATAGATGGACCTGGGCAAAAAAGAACACAAAGAAACACACGCACAACTGATTGGTCAATACGCCAGTCCCATAGAGCGTGGGGTATGACATGTATTCACAGGCCTGCGGCACCACGCTTTCACGTTGGCCACTCACTTGGTGTTTGCGGCTTGCGGGTCAAATCATTCCCAACTGAAACCTGGCTGAAGCTGCTGAACCCCTCCAGGCCGACACGGTGTACTTCTCATGGACCGCAGACACCAAGTATGGCAAAAGGGATGCTGCTGGCTCAGAAGGACGTGTCTATGCGAGCAAGCTGAAGATCGGGCCACAAGGCTGGCCATGACTACTGGCAGTGCGAAGATCCGCAGGGTTGATGTTTGACTCCCGCATCAAGACATAGAAACCCTTCTGAAGGATGTGGAAGATGGTCGTAAACCGGGGCATGACTGGTCTGCCGCGGGGCCATTTCCATGATTGTTTGAGAGAGGGCATCACTGCATCACAGAAATGGATTAGAGGAGTCACACCAGCGCCATGGAACCTTTTCAACGAGCCAACACCCTGGGTTTCTGCGGTTTTGGGCCGAACACCGGGTGTTGGGGCAGAACACCACCGTGGAGCCCACCACGGTTGAGCTCCTGAGTCCCATGGCTTTGGTCGCCATTGGTCACCGCTCCGTGGAGCGGCGATTGGACGCCGAAACACCTCCCCAAAGCGATAGGACCATTGTCTCGCGCCGATTGGAATGCAGACACCTAAAAGGAATCACCAGTGAGGAATTCCTCATGCACAAGAAAAATACTTGACTTTATTCCAAAACCAGCGGACCAGCGGTGGATTAGTTCAACCTTTCGAACACACTGCGACTCCTGCGACTCACTAACATGGAAGTGGACATGCCGCTGTTGGTAAAAAGTACAATAGTCTTCCCAACGCACTTGACTATACCATCCACTTCCACGTGAGTGAGTCAAACTATAATTCCTGGGCGCTCTGTATGGAATATATGCCCACATTGACCCCTGAACCACCCCAATGTAAGCAAATATGCCAGTCCCATGGAGTGTCTGGAATTGGTAGAAGATCTTGGCGACAAGTTCCCTGATGGGTCGTGATTCGAACACGTTTCCTGTCACAACGGTTCCTTCATTCCATAGTGTTATATAGACATGCAAGCAAATCCAAGTGTTTGAGGGCAGGGGGTCCCAGGGGGGTTCCTAATTTTGGGGAGAGACCTTTTACAGTAGTTTATACCGCTGAGTTTGCCATCCCAATAAGAGAAGGAGTTTCCATGTTGTTGTTGTCGTCGTCGTGGTTGTTGTTGTTGTTGTTGTGAATACTATATTACTATTACGACGACGACGACGACGCTACTACTACTACCACTACTACTACTACTACTACCACTACCCCTACCACCGGCACCACGACGACAACGGCGACGACTACTACTCCTACTAGTAGGACCAATTTGGACCAATACTACTAGTAGCCATTCTGTACCAGTACTGTCTAATACATTCTAAAACTACTATATTAGCGCTACGGTCAAAACACAACCGCGGGCCTGCAGGTTTGTTTCTAGGAGGGGTTTGCTGGGTAGAGACAAAGTAAGACGATCTGTGTTGACCTGGCTGCAGTTTGTTTGCTGTCGGAAGTTTATATTGAATTCATTCAATTTGAACAAGTCAGCTTGTTCAGTGATGTGTGGGCCCCTTTTTACAGAACAGGCTACCACCAGCGTGCGCAAAACAGTGTCTTTGTGAGCATCTGTGAGCATCTGCTTACAATCAATGCAATTCCCAAAAACGATAGACAACCTCAAACAGAACAAAACTTCAAAAGCCTTGACAAACAAAAAACATAAAACTGCAGACCGCATGGCCAGAGAGTCAGACAGGAGAGAGGCCCCAATGAGGTCCGCAGTTTTGTTTTTGTTTTTGAGGGGAAACAAAACAACTAAAAAAACTGCTGGCCCCATGGCCAGAGAATTTGTTCATGCTTTTGCAACTTTGAAAATGAACACAACCTCGAGAAAACCACAACAAAAACAAAACTGTACACCCTGTGTTTGAAGTCTTGGGATGGTTCATGGGGTTTGCAGTTTTGTTTTTGGTCTTTGATGGTTTGTGATAACTTTTTGCATACCAGTTCTGTCTCGTACTTCTCACTCAATTCTAACAAGTTCAATTCAAACCTAACCGCGTTCTAAGTAAAACAAGGTAACACGACCCCGAGTGACCCGCGTAGTCGTGCACACAGCACTCAGGTCATTTGAAATGCATCCATGGTCCTTCACAATGTTTTCAATGTTGTCCCATATGTTCGCATGTTCATTTCGCTCCACAATTCCCCGCTTTTTTGGACGTTGATCTGAAATTCTAAGGGGATTTACAAGTGTACGTTTCTGTCCAACCCCCAAAAAGTTGCAAACCGACTTTTCTTCGCACAACTCAGGTTACAAGGACGCCAGTCTTTCCGTGGCATCTTGCGTGGAGGCATTGTACCTCCACACAAACTGGAACGCTTTGTCATGCTTTGTCCAAGATAGCAGCATTGATCTGCCTCTTGACCTTCGTCTTGAGGTTGCAAGCAACGAAGCGCTTCAAGTGGTGCCAGCATCGATCTAATTGCTGAGTCCCACCGATAGCAGAAGCGCCCTTGCGCTTGGGGCCCTTGAGGTTCTTCGTGAATTGCGCATTTCGGTGGCTGACGGATTTCACCAAAATCTGCTTCTTGACATCCTTGGCGACAGCTTTCCAAGACCGGTTGCCATCGGTGTAGCATGTGGTGCCAGCGTTGATGCGAGCGAACAATCTCGAAGCCTGCACATCTTGTTTCGACTCCACCGGTGGCTTCGCTTTTGGAGCCACCAACACATAAGGCAACTTAGCAATGCACAGCTTCGACAATCCCCTCTGACTGGCACCCGCAATCCGTATGTAAATTAGCAAGAAGTACTTGGGCACCCTTTGGCCCACATGGCCAGATTTCCAGGCTTCAACTTCTTGAGGAATGCAAAGTACGAGGACTTGGAGTTGCCTCAGGGAGGTAACATTTCCGAGACTCTCCGAAAAATGTTTTGTTTTCATCAATCGAATCTCCCCGTAGTACTTGTCAGTGCTAAAAAATAGAACCACGACATCAATACTCCGTGCTTCCAAAGCTCTTCTGAGGAAGATCGCTTGGAGACGGTGTGCGACCCGTTGAACGCACCGTGCCAGACATTCCGGCATGGCAGCCACCGACAAGTCGCGAAAACGAAGAAGTCGCCGACTCGAAACAAACAACGCGGCCGTGACCGTCGGTGGTACGAACGATTGTCTGTTGAATTGGTCCCACACGGACACCCAACACAACCACAAAAATTCACCGTACACCTCGAGAGAATCGAATTCTAAAACCCACCGGTCCGGATCTAAACAAATGTCGAGCGCGGCTACACCTAGTGAATCCTTGACCGACGTCGCCAGGTCCAGCAAACTGTCCAAGTAAAAAATTAACAACGAAGACGGAAAGACAAAAGACGAGTCACGACGAGTCAAACGAAGAAGAATCACAACACACAAAGACACACAACAACGAAGGGACAACGAACGCATTGAGCTGCCAAAACTGCGGTGCTATGGACGTATCGACGACGACGTATCGACGTAACTGAACCCGCTGGTTTCCGTGACGACGTTCCGTGAACGACGTAACTGAACGACGTAACTGAACCCCCCCCCACCCCCCCCCAACAACCGAAATATGATTTCCACCAAACGCGCGCGCCGCTGCGGGTCGCGAGTGGGCGTGACACCTAAAACAAGCCTAGTTCAATTATACTGTATTGGAAGTTGGTTTAGGTTTGAGTTGAAACATAATCATTTTTTATTTCTAGTTGACTTAGTTTAGATCTAATTCATTTTTTAAGTTTCTTACAATTTTTGCGTACTTGTTCCCTTTTTCAACAAAAGTTGAATTGAGTTCATAAAAGTAGACCTTTTAATATTACTTAATTCTGTTGAATTCTAATTTAATTCTCATTTAACTAACTTAATTTTAGATCTGGATTTGAAATTCGACTTTGAGCTTGATTGAGTTCTACTTTAATTCTACATTGAGTTTTGAACTTGCTTCTACTCTAAAATCAAAGTTGATTGAGTCTAACTGATTTCTAATTCAATTGAAACTCATTACCTATATCTAGAAGTTCAATATTCATTTTTAATTGAATTTCTAATCGAGCTGCAGGTTAAGCAATTCTATTTCAATTCTATTTTCGTTCTAGTTCAGCTTTAGTTTAAAGAACGACATGTTGATTCAATCTTAGTTAATTGCAGGGCAATTCGAATTTGAACCTAACTTTATTTTTGTTTTTGCGACTTTAGTTCTAATTTAACGTATTTTCAATTTTAGTTTTTTTGTCTCAATTTAATTGTAATTGAATTGTAGTTTACGCTAGTTTAAATTTTATACAGCTCAAATTCAGTTGTTTTAAAGTCTAGTTTCATTCTTTTTTGTTCAATTTAATGTTGACTAGTTTTCTTTTGATTCTTTTTCGATTCTAGTTCAATGCAAGTTTTGTTCTAATTCAATGCAAATGGAATTGTAATTCAACTTTGATTTCATTCTAGAAAGCGGGTGTTACTGGGGGTGTGATCACAGATTAGAAGAACAACTAGAATTATATTAGATTTAAACATCAACTACATAGAAATTAAAAGGCAAATGAATTAGAATTGGATTGGAATTCCAGGTAGAATAAATAGACTACATATGGAATTTAATAAATATCAAAATTCAATTGAATGAGATTTGAAATAGAACTGACACCTAATTACAATAGAATTGAACCATTTTGAATTTGAATCCAACCACAATCAAACTAGATCATTCAGGATTTGCAACTCTTTACCTTCTGAATCTGATGTACTTATCAATTTGCAGTCAATGAGAGCAACACAACTCACAAGATAACTTTAAAAACAATTTTGCATAGGACTTGCATGGAATCGGTTTACATATAAGTTTTTCAGTAAATACTTAATTCTCATGTTAAATACATAAGTAAACAGCTACTTACCAGCTACAAATAATGCAAAACCTTATAGCATCACAACTTTCACAATCCTATCAATGTCATATCATCAACAAATACATCAAAACCTTGCAAAATCACAACTTTCACAACTCCACCACATCTTTATATTGTTCCTCCTATGCTATATACTTTGCTGTATTGACTATAAATGAACCCAGGAAAAAAGAAACACGGTCAAAGTGGCCAGCTCTCTTTATTTACATATCTTGTATTGGATATGTAATTAACTTTTGGGTTTGTCGGACAACCCCGCATGCCGGAATTCCGGTCAGGTGCCGCAATCTTGGAGTCCAGCGTGGCTTTTGAGGGCTTCGTCCGTGCAGGCGGAGTGGATGTGACTGAGGACGGAGTGCTCGGCATGCTCTGCGCGAAGTATTGGCATCCATGGGTCGAGTCACTAGGCCCTTTACCTGAGGCGTGGCACGTGGGATCTTAGGAACATCGGCACCGAATGGATGAATTCTGTAAATAAGGCGTTTGTACATGTTAACTATGTTTTCTGGTTTGTTTCAACAGCTAGGTTTCGATACTATAGTAAGAAGATGTAGTGAGTGTCCTGGTTTTGTGGACCTGGGATATGGATATTATGTATAATATATAGAGAAGTGTTGAACAACGCACTTTTCAGGCTGAACACCGTGTTTGGTTCTTCCATCCGGCAAGTCGCTGGGATCCAAAACAAATTCTTATTTTGATCTCAGTTGGACAAGAACCAGTTGTAGTTTGCACCTCCACTTGAACTGCGACGACAGATGCAATGTGCTGTTTGGGGTGGCACCAGGTCGAAACAAGTTGACCTGGGTTTTATGACGCTCTCACTCTGTTTCCCGGTCACCACTGAGGCACACGAATAGCCATTTAGACAAGGCTGCGATGGTCTTGGCAGTTTGCGAAGTGAACACCAGCACCATGACTCGGCAAAGAACGCCCTGGCAGATTGGGAAGCAGTACCAGGACATTTGGAGTCATGATTTTTTCGTTTAGTGCGGCTGGAACGCTGTTGTATTCCTTTGGCATTGGGCTAAAGGCGGACAGCCGACCTGAGGCGCGGATCATCACCGTCTTGGAATTGGAAGTGGGTCGTAGGTATATAGACGTGCTTGTTCAGTGATGTTTGCGGGTATCCACAAAAACATCATATCCAAATCACTATCATTTTCATCATCAGCATCATCATCATCAACGTCATCATTTTCGTCAGCATCATCATCAACCTCATTGCTTAGGGAGTCACCTTGTTATGTGTGTGTGTGTTTTTCGAGCATCCTATTGCTCATACTCTATTGTTAATCCTCATCTTCGAATACGATCTTCACGTTCCTGGAAATTCTTCCTACCCGCATTGCCCGCATTTCTTCCCCTCCTTTTGCGTGTCAGGAGAGCACCACCGCTCCAAACACTGGAATTTGGGGATCCTATCCCTTGACGGCATGGTTTGCCCAGCGCTCCGCGGGCTATGGCTATTTGCTTTACGCGCCGGCGCAACAGTTGTGGACCGCGTGGTATGGCGCCACGGTGGGAAGTCACACGGGCTTTGCAATGCACACTTATCACCGAGATGCCCCAGAGATCAGCCAGGAGAGAAACGGCAAGGATATTTTTTCCTCGGCAACGAATGGTATGATGTGTGTATGTGTGCTTTCCCTCGTTGTATTTGTCTATTGTAGACTATTATAGATATCAATATCGCCCCTTTGTCAGTTTGAAGCCTTAGCTGGGCTACAAATGTCACAAAGGAATCTGGAACCTTCTCCAAGCAATGCGGAGAAAGCAATTCTTTGATCAACGATGCTTGTCAGTTTTTGGGGTGCACCAATTTGAGATCCTTTTTGGGGCGAATCCATACATGGAGATAACATGTTTGGTTGCCCCTACCCACTACTAGGTACTAGCGTTAAGTCGACTCAGCTTGTGTAAAGTCGTGCACTCCACAGGGATGTCTAAGCATAGATTGTACTGATCTATAACCCATGTTTTGCGTTGTGCCCATGGTGTGCCTGATTGTCACTTGTTTGTATTTATGAGTGTGTTCTTTGGGGGAGGGCAGCTTCCACAGGGGTGAAGGGTCAAGGATTTGTGACAGTTTTGATGCAGAGCTCCTTGCGCCCATGCTCCACTGCTGCTGCTGCTTCTGGTTGGCTGCTGCTGCTCCTGCTGCTTCTGTTTTGGTTGACTGTAGGAAGCTGTAGGGCGACTGTAGGAGTCGTGCTCACGCGAACCTCGCGCAGGGTCGCGCGGGGCTCGCGCAGAGGCCTATAGTCACTTGTGTGTGTTTGTGTGTGCATGCAACCTATTCTCTAAGTTGTGCGTTGGTGTGAATATGTGTGAATGATGTGAATGGTGCTGTGCCATTGAGATTTGGGCTTGAAACATCCAGAAAGCAAGGCCAAATGCCAGCCATAACAGTGTGCGCTCACTTTTCCTTGAACATATCACTTTCCTATCTTTCCTGCCGTGCTCATTTTTCAAGTGGGCCCATAGTGCTTTGACCAAAATGAAGCAACTTCACGCGAGTGGGTTGACTTCTCGCTGAATCCTTGTGCCCATGCAGCGAGTTGACTTTACGCGAGGTGGGTTGACTTAAGTACGCCGCTTTTACCAGTCCCGCCACGGAACACCATTCTTATAGGAATTATGATTCGCCATCCAGTGTCACCGGCTACGCAAGTCACTCACAGATGATGTTCTATCGCCTGCCCTTCAAACATGACAATGGCCGTCTCCCGGTGTCGGTTAGGTCTTACTCCTGCCCGCTAGGAGGAGTACGCCAAGTACACGTACCCCGTGCCACGAGAGATGGTGGAACTTCGAGAGGAGCGCACCGAAGCATCATCTTGCTCCGAAGGAAGTCTGGAGGTGACTGCCGTGCCCCGAGGTCCTTACCCTGCTACATGGATCCAGTTGGACGGCCGTTTTCTGCATCTAATTTGTAAAGTTGCGTACACGGTCCTGTAACTCCTACTCCGTTCACCGAACGCACCGAAAGCACCGAAAGACCGTGGGTCGCTCCCAGGAGGCGGAGGGTCCCTGGAGGGATCACCACCGCACCGGCACGGGAGACCATCAAGCGTCCGCGGCTTGGCGGTATCATCCGCGGCTGAAGGACATCGGCGGCTTGGCGAAGGAGAGAGATTGGGAGGGCAGAGGGGTGCAGAAGGGGAGAAGGCGGATGCTTGAGGATGTTTGATGAAAATTATTCCACAATTAAGGTGTTGTTCGCTTCGACAGGAAAAAACTGTCTTTCTGGTGATGTGCCTGCGGTGCCTGGCCTTCAGTTTTTCATTTTCCTCCCAGCATCCACCTTCCAACTGAGAGGACTAGTTCTGGAAGTAATATCCGGAGCTGCAAGGATGATAGTGTGAAAAGACGTGAAAAGACATCCAAATTCAACCGCCGGTCCATGCAAGCCGGTCCATGAAACGACCTCCCTGAGGCCTCCAGAAGCACACGCATGGCCCGGTGTACATGCAGCAATATGGCCTGGCCAATGGGTCGGTCGGTCAATTGCCAGCAGGGGAGTTTGCCAATCCCGGGCACAAGACTGGGCGCTTGGAGATGCTCTTTGGAGAAGATACCGGAATTCAGGCGACACTTGGACCGCCTACTATGATGTTTCTGGAGATGTGTTTGTTCATGTAAAAAGACTTCACCTTCCGGACTTGGAAGAGCATGGCCAGCAGATGATGGCACACTTGTTGCCTAAGGAATGCCTTACGCCCCTGTGGAGAGGATTGGATCGTGGGGATTATTGCAAAGGTCGGGGGCAACGTTTGTGCGAAGGTCACACGACTCGGGGAGATCACCACTTGGAAGAGCATCGAGCCATCGGCGCCTCGGGCGGAGACCAAGACGGGGACGGGGGGGGAAGAACCTCTCGGTGAACACGGAACTGGATTCTGGATGGTAAGAAGGATGTGACAGAAGGATCGTTACAAAAGGCATACAAAAGGAGCAGGACCCGAGCAAGAGCGCGTTGCAAGCATTCCATGCGGAATAGTGTTTTTTTAACGTTGTTAAGTTATTGTTTGTTTCGGAATTCAGAAACATGCAGTCCCTCCCTGCGAGCGCCTGAATTCCTTGCACCTCATGTCCAACCTTCACTCTTCAACGACAAAATAAACTGATGGGAAACTAGAACCCAGCATCCCCAAGCCTACAAGATCTTCCCAACAACATGTCGGACGCAAGTACTTCAATGACAGGATCTGAAAGTGGTAAAACTTCACCTGACATGTACTTGAACCCTACGGCCCAATGGAATTCTAGCATCTCTAAGATCACCACCTGAACCCCGACGTTAGCTGGCCGTCTCGCGTCCAACTCCGGTGACCGTCTGGCGCCTGGACTCCCACCGCCACCGTGGCTCCGCGCGGCCATCGCGGTGAGGTGGGCAAGATGCCGTGTGGCTCCTCCGGCGGCGCATGTGGCGATGGTGCCAAGGGTCGAATGTTGCGGATTGCTCCACTGGGCTCCAGTGAGGAGGAGGCGCTGTGTGGAGCAACTGCCCGGCCACGCGGAAGAGATGGGTAGATTGGTGCGATGGTTCAACTTGGGGGTCCCATCCCCCTGCCTGAGATGTTTGAGCCCCCCAAAGCAGTAACATCCTTTCGGTTTTGCTTCCTGTCCCATTCCTGCCGTCATTGGGTTCGATGTGAAACATGGAACTCCACTATCCCCTGTGATATTTGGACTAGAAAATGGAGGTTGACGTCTGTAGTAAACTCACCGGCAAGGGGCCAGGTATTGCATTTTCTATAGAGTGTAGTTCACTGTAAAATATATAAGACACGCAGGTCTCATAGGCATGCTTCCAAGGTCATTTTCTAGACATCACATTGTTTTCTTGATCCCACCTGTCCCTTCATTTTCTAGTGAGGTTCCTCATTTTCTAGCAAACATGATGAATCATGATGAGTCAAGACGGAATATAAGTAACACATAGTAAAGCATGACATAAAGTTTAAACCCTCAAGATCTAGAAACAGAAAACTCAAGGAAGACACTTAGAACTTAGAACGTGAGACACACCCCAAATTTTCAGTCCGAATATCATGGGGAAAGAGTGGACACGAGCGCAAGGAGCGATTTTGGTTGGGTATCGCAGGGTCTGAGGACTTGGGTGTGCCAGGTGCTGGTCGAGACACCAGCGCCACTAGAAAATGAGGAGTGCAACCTAAAACCCTATAACTTTCATTTTCTAGTGAATTTGGTCTGGCTGCCCCTTGGATACACTACCTTCCCATGTCTGGCCTGAGTGCCAGGAATGAATGGTAGGGCACCAGGGATACCCCACCTTTCCATTTCCAACACTGGCCAGAAATGGAATGGTAGGGTATGGCAGGGTCTGAGGATTTGGGTGTGCCAGGTGCTGGTAGAGACACCAAAGCCACCAGAAAATGAAGAGGTGCCACCTAAAGCCCTATAACCTTCATTTTCTGGTGAATTTGGTCTGGCTGCTCCTTGGATACCTTCGATTTCTGGACCAGGTGCCAGACATGGAATGGTAGGGTATGGCAGGGTCTGAGGATTTGGGTGTGCCAGGCACTGGTCGAGACACCAAAGCCAGTAGACAATGAGGATCTGCCCCTTGGAGACTTTACCTTTCCATTTCTGGCACTCTTGGTCGAGACACCAAAGCCACTAGAACATGAGGTTGTGCCACCCCAAACCCTACCACTCATCATTTTCTAGAGAATTTTGTCTGGCTGTCCCTTGGATACCCTACCTTTCCATTTCTGGCCAGAGTGCCAGAAATGAAATGGTAGGCAGAAATGGAATGGTAGGGTGTGGCAGGGTCTGAGGATTTGGGTGTGCCAGGTGCTGGTCGAGACACCAAAGCCACTTGATTCGCCGGATCGTGCCGGCATTTTCGGAGTGTTGTAGTTGTTGTTCAATGAACTTAGCTTTTGCATGCTTTTGTTTGCTGTTGGGGTTCGTCACAGCACGTAGAAGCAGGATCCGCTAAAAAATTGCAAGCGCCGGACGAAACCGAAGATGCGCCAAACACGGGCACACGGGTGAAAAGGCTGCGTTTGGAAATTCTGTCCATGTTCTAGTGATGATACTTTTTCTCACTAGAGTGCCAAACCTGATTCATGAGGCTGCGTCACTCATTTTCTAGGGAGCTGACATTCACCATCCCCCACGAAATCACTAAAGAATGACTAGGACTGACCCCTCCATGTGATTTTCTCATGGAGGATACTCCATTTATATACATTGTCTCCATGTATTGCTGCTCTCTGATTCTCTTGCCTTGGCCCCACGTGCGGCCCCGACAGTTGTGATCTTTACAGTATAGTGACTTACAAAGTTTTTGACTGGTGGGGATCCATTACATGAGGGAAAAGCCTGTGCTTGATGAAGGGCGGAGGTATTTTTGACTTCGCCCTCGCACCTGCACTGTTCTGGCACTGAGTCAGGGGTTGCTTCCAAACCGTGCCTGTGAAGCAGCACCATGTAATGTCTTGGTGCAGGCTTGCTCTATTGCAGTTGCTGGGCTGACGCTTTACCAAGTAAGTGATTCTGCGGCGCCAAAAACAAGACCCCAAAACCTTGAGAAAAGAAGCTTCCGTGTGGAGGGCCATCGAAATATCACGCAAGTGCGCGTGGTGAGACAAGGGACAGGGCTGGTAATGTGCAACTTCTTTTTGTCCCAGCAGCGTGTTGCAACTTTCTATAGCAGTGCTCGCCCAAAAATGGATTCTTCAGTCGATCATTTGGCCCCAAGTGGGCAATTTTTTGGCCATTTCTGGCCACATGCCACAAGCGTGGCGGTTTTGGGACCATGAAGTTGTGCAAGTGCAACAGCACAATTTTACCGATCCAGAAAGATGAGTCTTTTGGATATGTTTGGGCTGCGTCGGGCAACAAAGCGGCAACATGGTTGAGTTGGACACACACAGTATATGTATATATATATATACATGATCAAAGAACTGGCCCACGTCACAGTTTGTGCACCCGATCCGTCTTCCAGTTCATCCCACCGAAGCGGAGAAAAAACGTACCGGTCGGGACGGACCCGAACCGGTCGTCGGTGCATGCCGTGGGGGGGGTTGTCCTTTAAGAAACGGACCTCACGGCGGTGTGGAGTTTTCAGAGTGCAAAAGGTGATGAAGGGTGACATATAATTAGGTTTTTCTGAGCTGTATATAGGTGGACCTGGCTTGGTAGTTTCAAAGCTGTATACATGTAAAGACTAATTTTTACAACTATAGATTAATCACTGGTGGTTGGAGTCTATGAACAGTGGAATTATATATAAATTGTTTTTGTGGGTGTCGAGGTTCTTGTTTGGCTATGAGAAGGAGGACCGGACCAGATGGCTCGTGGAGGTGGATGGTGACTGTGACCTGGCATCACCTTGTTGCTGCCGTCGGTAAAAGATACCTCTGTGGGTTCATCCCAACATCATGTTTCGTGTCCACAACATGTTCGAGTCGATTGTTCTGAAGATCTCACAAAGACGGGTTTTGAATCAAGCGGTAGAACAGGTTCGCAAAAATCGCAACATGTTCATCTCGATCCTTCTAGAGGAGGACCCGTCCTTCTCGGCTTCGAGCCGCGAACGCCCTTGGCCGAGGTAATGAGATCTCTGAGAAAATGGACGTGACCCAATCGACCCATTGGCCACTTTACCAGGACCGGCCACTGGTTTCTTATATGAGAAGGGCCCCGGTGGTTGGACACGGATGCGCTCTGTGGAGTCGAACATGAAGGGAAAACATGTTTCCATCTCAATGAGAGGAGTTTGTTCTGTAGATGATGATGTCAACAAAAGATCGTTGCAGTTATAGATTCTTTGCAGATCCCACTTGCAGGACTGGACCACAACAACTGCTGGCGAAGTGGTTTGGGTGACCACCTGGCAAGCCGATGTGAAAGGAAGCTTCGGTCCCGTGGGCAGCCCCAATGGCGTGTGGCCCTACAAGCCCAAACCTCAACTGGAGGTCAGCTGCGTTTCATCCGCAGGTCGCAGGTCGCGTGTTCGAGCCTTCGTCCGAAGGTCTATTTCCACGTCTAGTCTTGTTCTTTTGATTGGAAAATCAGCTGAACATATGGCACCGCCCCAAGTTGGCTGGTCCATAAATGTGGGAGACCAGCCTGGTGAAAGGAACCTGTAAACAAGATTGTGTGGTGTCCTTGTTCCAATACAGACCCATATATGGAAAGACTCCATCTAAAGATAGTAAAGCGTTGAAATATGTTGACATAGTGGTGTGCTCAATGAACTCATCGCCCATGGGGAGGTGTTGGTTCCTATTGGTGTTGGTGGTCACGAAAGGACCCAACATAGAGACCAAGACATAATCATTTGGGGAATTATGAAGAGGGAAGGTCGCAGGTTTTGGTTTTGTCTTCCTTCTTCATCTTGTGCATTTATGCAACGGGAAAAATGAACTTCTAGAAGTCCTTTAAAGATGTATATTATATACATGCATATTATATTACATAATTATATACACGAAACATCACGAAACAATACTTCGTACAGCTTCCGAAACGGCTTCCCGTTTGGCCCAAAGACCCGGTCAGTCGGCCGCAGAAAACGACCCCATCGCCGACGTCGGTGCCCCGAAACGAAGGTGCCCGGCGTATCCGTTTCGGAGTCCAACACCGCGCCATGCGGCGCCAGGAGGAGGAGTACCTCTTTGACCTGACGCCCGAGGCCACCAACGCCGCCAAGGTCACGGTCTATTCTCCATGGAGAGGGACCACCACATCCATGAGCTCTACGGCGTCCTCCAGCACGTTGTCCACCACGGTGCCGTGGAGTTGGTCGTTGGAAGGACCGGGGAGTTGGTTGTTTTTTTGGGGAAGGTCAAAGTCCTATGGTCAAACGCATGAGTCATGTACAAGGTGGTCCTCATGACTTTCATGATTTTGCTTTGTGTTATCGACATAGTTATTAGAGATTATAGATCGGGAATATCTTTGTTGGGTCCGGAGTCTTCTAGTTGAGCGTGTGGAGGAGCTTCTTCCTTTGAGATGGGTTTTGTAATATATGCATGTTTAAATCGATTTGATGAAATATATAGATTTAAGGACCCAAACAAATCTGATCGCTGGAGACTCGGTGATCTGCAGACCTCGGTTTCAGCGAAGTTGCGAATTGCGAATCCGATTCTCGGCAGGTTTCCATTGTTTCAACGAACATTTCCTGGATGCATTCGTCAGCCCCAGATGGAACATGGATGGAACTATATGGATCCTTTTTCGATGTGAGAGAGAGTCATGGATGAAGAACAACTGCGTTGGAACAGTACCCGGAGTCATGGATGGTCATGGACGGTCTAGGTTCGGCAGGAAGACCAAGGACACCGTTTCGCACCAGTCGTGAAGTAGTTTTTTCAAGACGTTGCATTGTTGCTGCCCTCCGCTGTGTTGACCTGCTCCGCGTATGTCCGCTGTGTTGGCCTTATTTCAGCTGTGTTGACCAGGTCGTCGTGATCTCCACGAGCATCTGGCTCCTCTCAGGCTTTCAACCCGCTGAAGGCGTCACCTTGGGAGAGTGGAAAGGGAGGGTTTTCTTGGTTGGGCGTCACCTGGCTGCTGCCTCCGCAAGTCAAGAATCTACGGTCATAGTCTACCCTAGGCTTCGAAGCCATGTTTCATTATTTTCCTTTGCCTTTACTGGAAGAATCTTGGTCAACTGCCCTTGAAATTTCTGACTATACCAGGTGTGTGCACCTTCGGTTCGTTTTGGTTCCCCTGAAATCCGGTCGACCATTCGACCATTCATGTTGTTCGTGCTTCAACACCGCTGCCGTCCGACTCCACTCCACTCCAGGCCGGTAAAAGACATCGAACCCCAAAGCGGACCGTGCTCGACTCCACTCGTGGACCGTGGGACTGCTTGTCTCATGAAATGCTGCCTGTCTCGTTGACTGCTCTTTGATCATGCTGTCATATGGTCTTCATCGGTCTTCATGATGGTCATGATCCGATGTCATGGTTTAGGTCATCTTGCTGCTTCCCGAAAGGCGAAAGTTAAGGTCATTCTGCTGCTTCCTGAGATGCAACTGTTTGCTTTGTTTCGACTCACCCTACTCTTCGCCCTCAAGGAGGGGAAGATCGCGCCTGTCGTGGGGCCTCAGCGTCCGACAACCATGCCACTTACTATGTGGTGGTGGAGGCCTCATCGCTGGAGGCGCCGTAGATGGAGATTGAGTGAGTTTGGGCGGCATGTTTCTCCGAAAGCTCAGTGGAAGAGAGGGGGCGCTCTTTTTGCAATATCGATGAAAGAATGGGTCGTGGTTTTAGTATGTTTTAGTACCTTCATAACTGAAATCTACTTGCTTCTGGAAAGCTGTGGCTCATGGTTGTTGAAATCTCCTTTTTGAGGCCATAACAGGCGCAGTTCTGTTTTTAAGCGCGGAAACACATGAATATCGCATGCATGCGGAAAGGCCAGATTGCAAGATGTCCGATTCACATTTCCTCTGAAAAGGTGCGAAATCGGGGCGGGGCTGGATCTCCCTGGCTTCTCAGAAGGTATGTGGATCTCTTCTCAGAAAGCCCGCCATTTGGCGTGCAGGATCAGACCGTAGATCATGAAATCATACTTTTTCAGCAGCACCTCACACGAACCGACCTTTATCAAGGTCCAGAATGCAACCAACACCAAGACCCCAAGAATGATATCTGTCACTTTCCCAACAAGCGCCTTTGGGTCATCTCTCCCATTTGAACCAGCCTCCCAACCTCCACAGGTTGAGCAGCACTAGTGAAAGAGGGTCTATATCCCATGAGCAGCCCCATGAGCTCAGAAAATACCCAACAACCCATAGCAGTCAATTCCTTTTGTTTGCCAGTTGCCATGCGGTCCTCAACATCTGTGTTCGCATGTGTTCGCAGCCATCTACAAGACGCCTCAACCAAAAACAGCTCAAAACCGGCACACCATGAACCGCGCCTGTCAACCGCCCGGAACCGCCGTGGTTTCAGGCCTGTCAACACGCCTGTTTGGACCAGCCCCTATGCTCCGGTGTGGAGTACTCACCGGGCCGCTGCGAAGTCTGGACCCGCCCGGGCGGCATCCGAAGCACCAAGCCGCTCAGGGGCTTCAGTGGCGTGGTTTGTGACTGGAAGGTGGGCGGCAGTGGGGGTTAAGGTTTCGGGGGTGGTCGAAGAGCACAAGGGTAGTGGTGAAAGAGCAGGAAAACACAGCATAAATGGCAGGCCTTATGAGTTCAGCAAGGTAGACACTTGCTTGAGTTGCGGAAGACTGACACTTGCTTCATGAACTACAAACCAGAACAGGCGTGGGTAACACCTGCACATAGTTGATCCTGAAGCATGATGAGAACGCTCTCTCAAACCATTTGGATAGATCCAAAGGGTAGAGCTCAAAATGACCCATATTACTCCACCTACCGAGTCTGATGAATGCTTATAGCATCTTATAGCCACCATAGTGGCGGAGAGGCCGCTTGGATCCACTGGGGCGGCTGACCGCTGCGGCGCACCGGCGCTCCGAGGTTGCTACCGGCTGGAACCGCCGGGTGCCTTTGCCCTGCGCCCCGTGGACGGTGGCCATAGGGCTTGCCGCGGCCAAACGGCGAGCGACAACTCGCCGGAGTACATGAAGGTGGCCCGAAGGTCAGATCCCACCTGGATAGGAAGAACAGGATCCTCAAATGGACTCGAATGGGTGGTGATGTCATGTGGAGGGAGGAAGGGAGGGAGGGAGGGAGGGACACTTCTGGTAATGATGGGAGTCTTAGGGCATGAAACCTTGGGAGGGTGGTGTCATGTACACCTATCTCGGGAAGGCTTGAGAGGGAAGTGGTATGTGGAGGGTGTGCTGACCAAGGGGCCCTTTGTGCTTTGGAACCGGGACAAATTCGCGGAAATGATACTTACAGTAGGTCCAATACTTCTGGTAGCTTACTCAATGGCAACGTTGAAGTGCTGAAAACTCATGGCAAGGTCCTTCCCATTGGCCGCCTCTTTGACTGCAAAGCAGCATGTTTGCAAGATCCGGATTGCACTGGTACCTTGCCATAAAATGGTGAGATTATAACGCATGGTTTGAAGAGTGTCCGAGGAATCTTTTGGTGTTTGTGGTGCCGTTGGCCTCCCACCCAGAAGAACTTCTGACAACGGGAAAAGTACAGATTAGGTATCCTTTGATGGTGAGATCTTTCTCATTCTTGCACTGCCAGACTGTTTTCCATCGCAAGCAGCCCATCCTTCACCGCGGACTCTCCTCTACTCTCCATCCTTCGCCGAGGCATCGAGTTTTCGCTGGGCCGATGCGAAGTATGGACTCGAAGCATCCACGCCAGTGCGGAGATTTCAAACTTCACATGTTTAGCCCTTGAAGGTCCCAGCTTTCGAGAGGTGGGCGAACAGTGAGAATGACTGATCTCAAAAAGTCTAGAAAGTTGATGTCTATGGCAATAGTAAGAAGGGGTCTAATTCTTACTTATTGCGGTGTGCTTTTGAGATAACTTTCTGCAGTGCGTTGATTCCATACCATTCCAATGGCTTTTTGGCGATTGAATTCTGTTGAAGACTTCTCGCTTTGGTACGAGGTGAATGGCCCAGGGCAAGCATGTCGTGGAGCTCACAAAAGCGACAACTTGATGAGCTACTATGAGGCCAATGGGTCTCCAACAGCGCAGGATACCGACCCACAACGAGCCATTGATTTTGATTGAGCAAACATCGATGACTGGCTGGGGGGCCTTTGGCTGAACCCAATGTGTTCTTGGGCTTCGCTTGCACACATGGAGATTTACATCCGTTGACACAGCCAGAATGACCCGACCTGATCCGACTCGCACTTGGTAGAGAGTGAGGAAATGAGCCCCAACAGAAAGATTCCCAACTTTCATCCAAGTCCCAACTTTCATCGCACTAGTCAGAATTGTTCCAGACACCAAGCAGTGCTAGGTGGTCCCAGACACCTCCTTGGACGCCTGCATGTGGTCCTGCACGGGCCGACTGGGTTGCAGCGGCGTCGAGTTTTCACAGGGCCGCTGCGAAGTCTGGAGCCAGCAAATTCAGGCCACTATAGCATTGGAGGGCTTTGCGTGCTTGCAACTTGGTGCTGGCTTTTTGTATGTTTGGCAATGTTGGGCATCAAGGACTCTTTGAGGGCGATTCTGCTTGTTTTGCCTATCCAACAATCTCGGGGCCAACTTGTTCCAAGTTTAGCTTGGTGTGGTTGGACTATGTGGGACTGTTTAGATCATTTTACCATATTTTACCTGAAGAAGACCATGACAATGATACTAGCTGGTGCTGAGGGGGAAGCTAAGGAGCCGGGGTTAATAGCATATTCTCGATTAAACAGGGAGCCGTCCAGAGCTACAGGGAGTTCCCTAACCTCTTGCTAAAAAAAACAAAGCCGAAATCTCATTGTCCCTATACGTGTGTCAAAGCCGCTGGCCAGGTCTTCATTTTCGGATATTTTTGGCCCTTGATTAAGGGCCCCCTTTTCAATTGGCGTTCGACTGATGCCCAAATCCTCATCCGACTGGGTGGTGCTGCCTCAGACAACTTTGAGGCGGTATGCTCCTGTTCTTCAGAACCTCCAGAGCTTCATCCGGAAGCGGCGCCAACATTTCCTTGGTTTATTGCAGACAAGCTCCAAGGCAGCGTCGTTGGCCACACGTATGTCATACGTTATTTTACAATGTTTGACACCCGTCGTTGGCGCCAGAACAAGCGCCCCATCTCTTCGACGTCGAACAAGCGAGCGGACCACTCCCACGAAACAAACCGGTCGTAAGGATCCAATTGACTATGTAAAGATCCACCAATAGTCATAGTCGGTCAGGGCCCTAGACTAGCGCACCATTTCGTGGCCCCTTCATTCAACTTTGCGAAGAGATTGTTTTGGTTGGGTGACTTCAGTATACGTAGAGTTTCACTGAGCTTGGCACGCCGATTTGAGACCCCCACAACAGTCTGGGGAGCTTGGGTGGAGAGAACCTGATGTTGGATGAATCAAAGGCCGAATCATTTGGACCCTGAGTGCATTTGCGTGCAGGAGAATCTATCAAGAACAAAGCTTGAGGGAGCCTCTGAGGAGCTTTGAATTAAAAGCTCACCAAAGTTCTGACAATCTTTGAGTGTCTGACCCACAGCACTTCATCGATTTCTGTGAGCTTTCAATGCCTGTTTCTGCCTTTGCTCTCGGGTGCTCTGAGAAACAGAAACTTGGAGCAAAACTGAAGCAGAAGGCGGGTAAGGTATTACATGGCTGTGGCTGAACATAGGGCGTCCGAAGCTTTTCTTGCAGAACAGCTGTAAGTCGAAAACCCCATGGGAAGGTAAAACCCGATTTTCAGCCATGACCACTTTGCCAATTCTGCTGGGTTTGGAGGCTGTACAGTTGTATATAATTCTTCCCATTCCCACGCGGTTCTTTGATTCGTGAAGAAATGAAAAAGGAATGGCGGGTTTGCTCATCGATGTTTCCTTTGACAAGTGACACGGGGTGGTGCTCATGGTCTTCTGCCCTGTTTCAAGACACTTAACTACCGATTTGATGGCAGGTTATAAGAGGTTCAGGTTTGAATGTCTCAGGGTTAAACAGGAAGAACCTGTTTCTTTGACTCGAACTGAGCAAATGTTGGCAGGGGACTCATGTGTGCCAGCATGCAAAACTGTTTGGGCTCTTGAGATTCTCTCATTTCTACAGGCAACTTGCATAACCTTATGCAAATGTTCGAAAACAACGCAGCTAAAGTGAAGCTTCGATGTTCATTGGATGTGTCGAGATACTTTGAGTTATTGCTTCAGACGATGGATTATGAGGACCTTTACGCGCCATCCATGGTTCAGACGAGTCTGACTGCTTGATGTGCTGGTCGTGCTGGTCTCTCCCCACATCTCTGAGGAGGACCATGGCGATGGACAAAGAACAAGAACCAATTAGATCAGTGCCCATCTCTCCAAGCAGCCAACCGATGGGCAGAAATTCTCTTTGTGGTTTGTACCAACTCAAGCTGCCAACATCAGCGTGCTGCTTTTAAGCAGCGAAGTGGGACGACCCTGCCCTGGTCTATCCCAAACCGACCCCCCTCCCGGACCAAAGCTATGGTTGCATAGCTGGACTGGACGATTTCATGCAATATTATATAACATTATAACATATATACTGTAATGTAAAATACATCAACAATGCATTCTGAATCTCTGTTCTGGGCGCGATCAACCATTGTCGTTTTCCACTTCAGCGGCTGGGTCCGTCTTACCCCGGCCAGGCGCGGTGGACCTCCGCCCATCCGCCTGCTGTCCCGCTTGGGGGTGACGGTGGACTGTCCCGCCAGCATGCCGCCGCAGTTTCTGAAGAGGAGCTTGGCTGACGTTGCCGGGCTGCATGAAGGTGGAAGGGACCATTGTGCTGGCGAGGCTCAAATACAGTGGGAATGGGTTCAAAGAACTGATTGAACTGCTCAGATTTTGGATCTTCACCCGGATCGCATGGTTTGATGGGTTCGAACAAACTGGCTGATTAAACTATGCCCCCCTTTGCTACATACACTTTGGAATCAGGACTCCGGTCCGGGATGAAATTCACTTGCCATTCACACAGCTGCTCTCACACCAAAAGCCCTTGGTTTGCAAGATGAGTCTACCAAATAGATCCAAATAGGGCCTATTGACTTTGAGGATGGCCATTTGGAAGACCCAAAACGTTCCTCGAGTTCCTCGCCGCGTGCGACTCGGCAGCTCCAATGAGTTAGTTAACTCGCCTGGCCCTCGAGCCGAACCCAAAATCGATCGCCCGAACCATCCGTGAGGCGTTCACCCGAGCCGGTGGAGCCCAATCGTCCTCAGGTGGAGGTGGCGAATGTCGTGGGGAAGACCTTTGCGGGTGCCGTTGGTGTCCAGGTGAGGGGCGATGTTTTGGGGCGAAATTGGTGAGGCCCCTCACCTGTTCGGGCCGTTGGAAGTGTGACGATACAGAGGCGAAGTCTTAGGCAGCTATGAATATCATATGGCTTACCGGGTTCCAAATCGGGAGACCAGTTGACCTACCCGGCTCGGTCTTGACCTATCCTATCCCTATAGGGAGAACATGTCGTGTGCCACCCCTCGATGCCTCATGATGCCGCTGCCAAAAGGACGAAAACGTGCCATGTACTTGGTAGTAGGTTGGTACTGCTTCCGGTTCATTTGACCTGTATTCTAGTAGCCGGTTGTTGTTGTGTGCTCTCGTGTGCTTCAGCCACTCAGCATGGAAATCCAATGACAGTATATAATATATATCCCTTAATGATCCTCCAAGCTTGCTTCAAATCCATCCACATCCACAGCAGAATCATTTCTTCCTCCTGGGCTCCATCTTCAGGGCTTGGCCTTTGCCAAGACCCTCCGAAAAGCTATGCAGGGGATCCCAGCCGAAAGCACGCACCATTAAGGGAAAGGATGGCTCAGATGGGGTTCAACGCTTTTTGACAATCAATTGGAATTAAATCAGTGCTTGTTTATGCTAAGGCCTTGAAAACCGCACGTGTAGTTGGCCTATATTTGGTCGTCGTTGTCTACGATACATGAGGAAAGTGTAGTTGATGCACGTTCACGGGGGGGATGGGCTGGGGTGGTAATAACGCTCGGTATCTAATGTCTTCTGTTGTTAGAAGACGGATGCTCTTCGCGTCATGTCTACGTATCCGATGAACAAACGAATGAGCTCTTGTCCTACATTGCTGCATGAGGACAGTGTTTATGTTTAAGTGGACTCAATCACGCAATTGGAACGTGTATGCAACGCACGGTGGCGCCCTGGGAACGCGAAACCAACCTTAGTCGCTTGACAGCGTCGCCGTAGAGCGAAGGCGCATGCTGGGCCTTTTAAGAAGTACCCGCTTAGCACCCCCAGGTGCTCAAGAGATGGACGTGGCAAGCTTCCATGGTAGAACACATCTATTTCCACCACAGGAGATACATCCCCCTGTAATTCTCACTTTCACAGGGCTTGACACACATGACACATGCAGGAATTTACTTCCAATTGCTCACATGAGGGTCTTGATCACCGCCACTGGCGCGCTGTTCAATCCACCGGGTTGTTTATGCAAAGGTTGTATCGGCTTCAATGCAAAGCAACTTTGTCAGGGAAGTGCTTTCGAAACAATGTGGCTTCAGCAAATCCTAGTGCAGATTGTCCTCATGGGAGCAGAGTGGCACGCAGACTTTGATGTGCCAAAGAACCGCATAGATCCAACGGGAATGCAATGGAGTGCTCACCTGCATGCTAAGTCATCTACCATACATCCACTCTGACCTACTTATTTGTGGCGGGTAAGTTCAATCCAGTGCAAACCCACCAAATTAATGTTTGATCCTGATTAGTAAGGGGGGCCCCCCGCTCCTCTAGACAAAGGGGGGGGGGTCCTCTATAACCAACTACCACCAAAACCAATGTGGATTCCTGGGAGGGTTCTTTTGCAATTGATTGTAGTATTCACAATTAGTAGAATTCTTCATTTTCCTTCCTCATGTTCTACGTAGATATTCTCAGCAATCCTTTTATACTATACTAAAGGAGGGTACAGAGAAGGTTCTCAGGTTCTCATCCAAGCAGGCTTAAGAATATTGAGATTTACTCGATTTTTTCAGGAAACAACTTCGCACAATTGAGGACCCTTAAGCACATTTAATATTGAGGATCAGGGGCCTTCCTGGTCTACTACCTTGAACATTTGTTTAGGAATAGCTAGTTAGTCTTTTCATAAAAGGATTGATTAAGGAATTGATGGCCTTGGGAAACTGTCAGTTTTGAAGGACAATTAGAGACACCTATAAACATCAACAATCTCTGCAAACCAATAGTTGGCTTAGAACCATCATTCGATCGTATCGGCGGTGGTCGTTCGATCTTCCGTGAGTTCTGATCTCTCTAGGAGCGATCATCCCTTGGTTACGTCGGTGGTTACACTGCGAGTTCGGAAGACCATGAAATCCGACCAAGCAGGTGGCTTGAACTCCGTGGTAGCTACGATTTTTTCCAAGGAGTGTATATGGCCTCTATCAGGTCTATCAGGAGTTGAACTCCCATCCTCCATTAAGCACCCCGACGGGGGTCAACTGCTGCTATATGTCGGACCCTTTCTTCAACAACTGAAGTGGACAAGCCCGGTCCAAGGGGATCATGATGGGGTCACGTGTCACTTCTATGTTTGTTTGAGTGTAAGACACGCGGCATGTCTTTATGGGATTAATCTCTGATGGGTTCATCCATTCATTGGCCACGCGACATGCCTTTGTGGGATTTATCTCCGATGGGTTCATCCATTCATTGGCCAAATTCAATCGTGTTTCAGGGCACTCACACTGAGGTCCCAGAAATACCTCAAGGGCGCGCTGCCCTACAACAAGGCAGGCTAGCTTAGATGTCCTAACTTCGTTCCACTGCGCGTTCGTCGGATGTTTTGAAGCTTTCCGAGAATCTCCAGTCCCCTCTCGAGGGGTGGTCCGAAAACACACAAAACAGGGGTGGGCGGTCCATAGATGTCCCGTCCGCATCCCCGAAACACGCTGGGACATCACTTCCTTATACTTCCTTGTGGCCGCTCTGTTCGTGCACGTCTCCCTGACAGGATTTGAACCTTTTAGCTCATGCGGTGGAGAAAGTGGTCGGGGACGCCTAGCTTGGCCCTTTCGCTCGACTGACTAGCTTGCCAGATGGATCAACTGGTGTTGAGCCCTTCACTCGATCAGTAGGAGGACGGAGGGCAGCCCATCCTAGCCTGCACCTCTCAAGCAATAGCTGGTGCATGCTGGTGCCTTTGATGAGAAATATCTCCATGAGAATACATTAAATATTAATGCATATATAATATATATATATATTATATATGTATTAATGTATATATATAATACACACTCTGACTCACCAACATGGAAGTGGCATTGGAAAGTGGCCCAAAGAGGAAGACTCCCTTCCTTTACAAACAGGGGGTTCTTCCATGTCAAGGAATCGGAGTGTATATATATATATAAATATCAATGCCTTCTCTTTCCTACCGAAAGCTCGTCACTTGGGAATCCAAGGCCTCCGGTGGCACGCCCCTGGAGGCTGTCGAGCGGGTCTGCCGCAAGCGCTGGCGACGCGCCTCGGTTCGACCTCGTGGGGACAGGTCGACCGGTGGCCCGGAGTAGGTGACACTCCTGGAGTAGGTGAGTCCAACCTACTAGCGATGGCCTCCAACCTACTAGCGGTGGCCTCCACCAGTGATGTCATGTTTTTGGTGCATGTGTGTGAGTCGGGTTGATCACTGAA